TAAAGAAGAGGAGGGTGTTTTCTTTCCGGGGAAAAGGGGCCCCCAAATTTTTAAATTTGGGGGGGCCACCCCCCAAAAAGGGGGGTGGTTTTTCCGGGAAAGGGAGGTAAAAAGCCCCATGCCCCCCGTTTTTCCTGGAGGTTTGAAAAATTTTTTCATTTTTTTTTGGGTTATTTTTGTTTTTAAAAAAAGGGGGGGTTCACAGGGTTTGGATTTTTTTAAACCCCCGGGATTTTTAGGGGAGTTTTTTCGGTTTCAAGAACCTTTCAGGGTTATTGTCCCCCCCCCGGATAAAATTGGGTTTTAAAAAAAAACCATTTTAATTTTTTTTTTGTTAATCCTTGTTACACCCCTCCCCCCCCATAAAAGGGGGAAATTTTTCCTTTTTGGGTTCCAAAATTAGGGGCCGGTCCCAGAATTTTTCCTTTCCTCCCGCCCATGTATTTTAGGAAAAAGGAAACCCCCTCCCCCCCCCCCCCCCCCCCGCAGGCTCTCCAGACCTCCGGGGAGTACGAAGAGGCCTACGACCTGTGCCTCATGGCGCAGAAAGTGGTTGACGAGTCCGTCGAGAAGGGCGACGGGATGGGGCCGGCGCACGACCCCCACGTGCTCTGGCTGCAGCTTGCCTTCAGCTCTTTCTTCCTCCAGAGGTGGTCTCGAGCGCTTGACGTCTTCACGCGCATCGTCGAGGGTGTCACTCAGGTAGTTTTTTTTTTTTTTTTGTATGTTTTGTATTTTAGGATTTTCTGGTGTCGCTCTATACAGGGGTGTCTGTAAGGGCAGAAGCTAGCGTTCTGCGAAACATGACCAACAAGCACGCTTCCATGTGTGTGTTTGCGTCTTTTTGTGTCCCGTGTGTTCTGGGAGCCAGTCTACACCCGAACAGGTTATGTTCGACACACCACCACCCGGGGTCTCTCACAGCCGGCATCAAAGCCAACCACAGCTTCATTTTTGTTGTTTTCCTATTTTCCTACTGACAGTTGCTCCTGCAGTGCGTGCCTTCAGTTTTCTGCCTCTTTTAAAGCGGCGAGCGTTCAGTTTTCCGTTAGGTCTTTAGTTAATACGTCGAGATTGAACAAACGAGTGATTTGTCAGATAACACTGACTGCCTTCTGCGTTCTTCAGAAAAAGTATGTACACGTTGTGTCAACCTTGACCAGCCGCTAGCTGTAAGGTAAAACGACAGGCAAACACAGCGTCATGTACAGCAAGAAATCACCGCTCATCTGCACCGAAAAACGTTACTCGAAGACATATGCGTGTACTGCTGTAGCTAACCTTCACGCGTGCACATTATGCTCGAAAATGACGGTAGCCCAGGGTCGAGGTGTAAGTGCCAGTAGCCGCCTTACGCTTCACCGCTTCCGTGAGGGGGTGCTCGCTCTTGCATTCACAAGCGCGTGTGATGAAAAGGCGATAGTATTGCCTCTCGATTTTTCTTTCTTTTCGCTCTCCTGTGTGTGTGTGTGTGTGTGTGTGTGTGTTTATCCTGACATTCAAAACCGTTCCGGTCTCCACTCAGTACCTTCTAATATCCGTACTGGTTCTGTTCGTGCTTTTGCCGAGAGCAGGCATGCGAAAACGACAAACGAGGGCTGACGGGCTTCAGCGCCGCGTACGCCGCGGCCAGCACGTGCGGGGTGCAGCCCGTCAAGCAGGGGGAGGTCCACAAGCTTATCGACGTGTGAGTATTTTGTTTTGTGTTTGTGGTTTTATTGTTAGCATCGAACCTTGGGCGCTAACCGGCTGACCAATGAAAAGACGTCAGTCTCCGTGCGGTTGAAGACACAAAATGCTTCTAAAGGCTACAATGACCTGGGACCCCGCGAGGGGGCGTCGTGGGGGAGGCCATGCCACTCTCCGGTTTAGTGTGTGTTGTTTCAGAAGATGAACATGGTAGAGATTAATCTTTTTCGTCCTCTACCTCCTCAAAGATGTGTTCGCCACAACGAAAAGTAGAAGTCAACACAACGTCCGAGAACAGACTATACTATACACTATATAATATACAATATACAATATACAATGTACTTGTAGACAAACATGAAAATCTCACACTGCTGCGGTTAACTCCTACTTACATAGTCAGCCAGCGCGCGACCACGGAGCAAGGAAAAATGGGCGGGGGGGGGTACTCATGTAAACGCATGCCGTATTTGGAGACCGTAGACCTAATACAATACCAGGACGGATTAGGCGCTGTGTGTGTATGGTTTCTGTTTTACCGTCGAGATCATCCATCCTATGCCTTCTGAGACGAAGTTCGGTGCTATCGCCCCCCCCCTACTGCCCGTTCCAAGAAGCGTTCCCCTCTCTTGTTCCCTTCAGATTTCACTTTTTTTCGTGTGTGTCTGCTGGTTCCCCCTCACCCCCCCTCCTCTCGATATCGATAGGATAGATAATCTAGGGCAAACATTTTTTAGCCACCGTTGGCAAAGTACATCGAAGTAGGAAGGAACGATTGGCCATCCGTGACCGGTCCTGTTGGAACAATACTCCATCCTCTCGAGGACGCGTGGTCAATGGTCTAACTGCTAAGGCGCGCAAAACATAAGAGCACGCCCCCCCCCCCGCCCCCTCGTCTCTCCTTCGTGCAGCGCCTGCGTCGCGATCAAGAAGCAGGAAGCGGCGGGCTCGAAGGAACATCCCGGGCTGCGGTCTAGGTTACAGGGTTACGCCGCACGCGGACCTCCGGGGGCGGAGCTGTGGCTTTTCGAGCTGCTGTATCTGCACAACGCGTCGGCAGCAAACAGCATGCCCGAGGCCTGGCACGAGGTACAAAGAGGCTCCTTCGTGTTTTGTTTTTTTTTCAAGCGTTTGTGTTTTTTGTTTTTGGTGTGCGTTTGTGTTTTTCCTTCGTGCTTTTTTTGTTTTTGTTGGTGTTTCGTTTCGAGCGTTTCTGTTGTTTTTTTGTTGTGCGCGTGTGTTTCTTCGTTTTGTTTTTTTTTGCATTTTTTTTTTCTGGCTTTTCTGATGTGTTTTTTTTCATGTTGCTCGCGTATGTGTCTTGAGTCCTGGTTGACGGCGGCAAGCGGGCGTATATTGTAGATGAACGAAAAAAACATAACTTGAACTCCGCGATCGTCGGCAGTAAGCACAAAGCACGAACATGATGGCTAGAAAGCGCCGCTGGAGGAAGGTGCAGAACGGAGATAAAATCCTCCTTTTTGACTCCGGCTGGTTCGTCAAGTATATTGTCAACTATGTTGCGAAATTTGAAATTTATAGACTGGCGCCTTGAGTTTTGATGGGACGGAAATGCTCTCATACAACACAAACAGCCATAATCCCGTCGCTCCTTCCCTGTGTCGCTCTTCGCCGGGCTTATTTTTTATTGCTCACGACCTGCAAGTTCTTGGACGTTTCGTCTTGTTTCTTTTCTCAAACTCGACAGCTAAGACATAATGGGCTGAACAAAAAGCCCGAAACCATCAATCCTGCCCGTTTGAACACCGCCCGAAAATATGAATCCTGCGCATTGGCCCCCTTGCCGCAGAGCATGCTGGAGCTCCTAGGGAACACGCCTGTGGCGGCCGTGTCGAGAGCCTACCCCCAGGAAGGGGTAACGTACACCCCCAGCGAGACGGATGCCATCATGGCGCACAAGTTCACGGAGGTGAGTCACGAGTCATGGCTTGTTGTCGGCGGCGGTGTTGTTGTTTGGTGGTGTAGACTGATGCCATCATGGCCCACACGTTGGCAGGGGTCAGTTCTGCCTTTTGGTGGGGGTGATGGTGTAAACGGATGCAATCATGGTTCACAAGGCCACAGAGGTCAGTTCTAGCTTGTTGGCAGCGGCGGTGTTGGTGGTGTGTAGACGGATGT